CTGCAATTGAACCTGTGTTGAGCCATCCTGTCATTGCCATTAAAGACTGTGATTGTTCATACAACACAGACACTTGTTGAAGGCCACCAGCATCATCACATCATCTCATCACATTAAATTCAGACTGAGGCAGTCAGGCTTAATCAATATGTCAGAAGATGCAGTATCTCTAGGAGATAATTCTTATTTCCCCCCYGAAAAAGCAAAAAATTGGTTCTGAGAAACCTACCTAACATGCTGGCAGCAAACGTTCCTCAACAACTACCATGAACTTGGCAAAGACATTTCCACCATCCATTAGAGAAAGCAATCAGTCTCCACGTGGATTTAAAGCATTTAGATTTGTTAACTTGCTGCTTTTCCAGTTATAYATTCAAGAACATTCAAGATAAAAGTTTCATGGCTTATTTGTGCCTTTACAAGGTTATTTTTTGCTATTTGTACTGTGCTCATAGGGTACAAGCTCTTTCAGCCAGCCTCATCTCCTTCCCGATAGTGCTTGAAATTTTCTCCACCATCCTCAGAATCAGCTACACACAAAAAGCTAAAAAAGTCCCCGATTCCTTGTGTAGGAATCCCAGCAACTGAGAATTTGCAAATGAATTGCTATTGCTCCTGATATAAGCATGTCACACCAATCAATGTTACACTCTCCTTTTCTGTTTTTTGTGTTAAACTGTGAAATCCCTGGAGCAGAGCCGCACAGAAGCCCCACTGTGCAGCCTCAGACATACAGAAATCAGTGCTAGCCTTTGCACATGGCCTTTGCTGCTCTACCTGCAGCACCCAAATGCTTTTCCAGTTTGCAACATCAACATATTCAAATTACAACAGAAAATGCATATAGTTCACCTAAAGCATGTATACTATATAGACAGAATATATATAAAGCATGTACAGCAATAGTATGTCAGTTTATTACAAGACAAGAAAACTCATGTCAAAACCTTTGTTTATTGACCTTTGATCTGTTATTTTCATTACATATTAGAGGAAAGTATAATTTTCTTCRCAAGAGCACAGCCCATTCAGAAGCGCAAAATACAGCAACAACCTGCCCTGCAGGATCAGGCATCTATGTTGCTGAGCTCCTAGGGTGATTTTGTCTATCCCTTTACTTACGTAATGTACAGTTCAAAGGCATCTGATTTGCTTTTCTCTTGGATATTAATTATGGAACATTTAACTCAAAGTTAGTTGCAGGAAAGGATCATAACTCAGGTCACAAAATTCCCACACCATTCCCCAATGGGTTTTGTAGATTTACTGCACAAATGCCATGAGAAAGAATCAAGAACTGAGAAGACATTTAGTGAAACTATCACAAATTTTATCAAGAAAATYGACTAAGAGATGCTTTGCATATGCCATAGCACACCTCTCTTGGGAAGAGACATTTTAATATCCCTAGAACCCCAATTTTATATATTACAAGTATTTAAAGACAGAGAGCTACAATCCTTAAGYTTCTGTAAGTGAGGGAGAATTATTTGGACCAGAAACCATTTGAACTGCTCAACAAATTTTTCTGGAAAATCGACTTTGTTTTAAACAAATCCTTATATGAGGCAAAAACAAACATCCCCATCTTTTTCTTTTATACTCTGCCACTCTTCCTTCCTACCCCCTAAAGGTAAAGGCTGCCTTAAAATGTTGTTCTCTCCCCTTTGCGAGTGGTCACTATGAATGTTTCTGTGAAAGCCAAGCCAGAGCCATGGACACAAACTTGATCTTTATCTCCATGTAATCTTTCATCTCTGACGAGATGAACTATGCTTGGRTATTTATGAAGTACTTCTGCCTTCAAGATTTCTTACGCTTAATCATTGGAGATGCTGATGGGATTCATAATGGCCGGGCTTGAAGTATGTTCCATGCAGGGTCCAGCTGTGTCAGCACTCAGGCTCCAAGCAGCTTCATCCTTGGGCTGACAGGATCTGTTTCATCTTGTGCCTTTTGCCCTCTCACATGGACAAAACCAGCAGGGGATTCAACAGTGACTGGGTCGGTGAAGGATGCGCAGGGCAGTGTCATCTTATGGGTGCCCTGGAAGCTCCCTGTCACCCCAAACCCGCCCTTCTGCGCAAGACAGAGCGGTCTAAGAGGAAGAACCACCTCATCTGAGGCTGTGAAATGGCAGATGGGCTCCAGCAGCACCACACACCTTCCCTGCCAAAGCCCGCTGTGCGGGAACACCCGGTGAAAGGACAAAGTAAAAAAACTTTCTGAAACTCAAAATTTAGACATTAGGAACACTACTTACAATATGCTCACTCACAGGTACCCAAGATGATGGTACCATTAATGAACATGGCTTGCAATGAATTTCTCATCCTTTCTAATTATTTCTGTTTTAGCGAACTGACAAGCAACTATCTCTTCTGGAAAATGGTAGGARAGCCCTGTATTCTGAAACCTGTTGCATTTAAAGCAAATGGCTCCAGGGATCACTGTAGTGAGAATCTTAATGCCAGTGGAAGAACAACGCTCACAAATCTGTAGAAGCTGCACAACTACAGGGACTTGAATAACACTTTGAGCATCCCAGAAAAAACAACCATTTAACTAAATACGAGCGTTCTCTAAATGGTTTTAAAACTTGCAATAACAAAATGAAACTATCAACAAACCGAAAATAAACAAACCCCTCCACCCATCCAAGCCTCAATGCTGATGTTCCCCACACATCTCATGCAAACTGCCAAGGACATCACCATCCTCACACAGTTCTATTTTTCCTGTGCACCTGACAGATGAAAGGCCAGAAGCACGAAATAAAAGCTTACAAGAGGTGATTATAAAATTCAGTGAAGATTTTAAGTGAATTCTTCCTGTCAAAAAGAGAGCTGCATGTGGGTCCTTTCCCTGCTGTTTACTATAAACATTCCAATTTTATCTCATTTAAAAATTCTTTAATTATTACACAACAGTATTTGTGATTGTGTAATAACCATATTCCCTATTTGATAGCACAATCCAGACTCTCATAAAGCCCCTATTCTGGGGTGTGATGACATTTAACACATCTACGATTCACGATTTAATCCTCCTCAAGAGGAAAAAAAAGAGTCAAGAAACATGAAACTCTGAATAGAGCAGAGAACGTCCAGCCTTTGAAGGCCTCTCTCCAAAGTGGCTCCGGGCAGGAAGCAGCCCTGTGCCTAAGCCAGGGGCACCCTTGTGCTGCTGGGCACTTACACAGGCTTCTTGGGCAGCACAGTTCACCTCGAACTGCTTCCCCCACCACCTTCTGAATTCCATCCATGAGGGAAGAGCAAGTGTTGACAAGCACGGGGTGAAAGGAGCCAGCGAGCACAAATATATAAATGTAACAGTGTTTATTGGAGCTCGATCAGCTCTCTGAAGGCACAAACAATTGCATAGTCAGTACAGGGAGCTGCACAAAAGTTGTGTGTGACATAGGAGGAGATGAACAACTGACCAGTCACTGGAGACAGGAGGAAGCAATGAGTCTGAAAGAAAATTTCTCATAGATACTGAACAGGCTTACAAAACATGCCAGTAACTGCAGAAAGCAGGACTTCACCAGGAAGAAAGAGCTTTAAGGAAACTATAATGAAAATCCTGCACCCCATATCTACTTGTAACTGTTTTTCATTCGTTTATTAACTGTAATTATTCTACAGCCCCAGGTATTCTACAACATCTGAGCAACTCGTCCCAGCACTCGGACAACTTTCATGACAAATAAAATTACCCCCTGCTAAATCTAATGAGATTTCCCTCCTGTTGCACTTTATGCCAATTGCCTCCCATTCTGTTCCACGTGTCTTCAAGAACAGTCTGGCTCCGTGTTCTCCTCACTCTTCCCCGAGGAACTGAAGGCAGCAGCAAGCTCTGCTGCCCTCAGCCTCCTCGTCAGGCCGAGCAGMGTTGTGTCAAGCAGCAGCTCTGCTGCCTTCCCTTGGATGCCCCAGCTGCCCTTGGATCATCACAGTGCCCATCCACAGGGGCTGCTCTGGGGCATCAGTGCTCRACATGGACCAGGAAGCCCCAAACTGGGCACAGTACCTCAGATGGGGACTCACAAGGTCTGAGAGTGACTTGTGAGTGACTTATCACTTCCACAAACCTGCTCCATCCACTGCTAACACAACCCAGGGCATGGTTGGCCTTCAATGACATAGGGCACGTTGTTAACTTGCCCCACCATCCACCAGGACCATGAAGTCTTTCCTGCAAAGCTACTTCCCATCCACCTAACTCCCTGCCTATGGAATTACACAGGGTTAGTTATTCCRTGCCAGATGCAGTACTTTCCACTTGGCTCAAAAGGTTCCTGGCAGCCAGTTTCTCCAGGTTGCTGTGACCTCCCTCAGTTTGTCTGCCCTCACACAGAGGGGCTGTGATGCATCTCTTGTCACTTCACTACACAGCACAAAGCTGTCACATGGGTCACTGAAGCAGCTTCTGGGAGAGTTTGAGGAGTTGGTCACAGAAGGGCCATGTGTGCCCAATCCTGAGCATTCAGCTGTCATGTATGCACTGTCCTCTGTGCACTGTAAGCACCCAAATACTGCCATTCTTCCTTGAGAAGGTCTGCAGTTATTAGCATGGCTCCTCTATAACRTATGCAAACTGGTAATTTCTTGTAAAGAAGCATTAAAAAAAGCAAGCAACTTCAAAGTAGTCAAAGTTAAAATGGAATTTAAGTATACTAAATATATAATGCTAAAAAAATTCTGCATAAAAGCCTATCTACCAGGACACTTCACCTTATCTGACAAATATTTAGACCAAATCAGTTATTTAATCATCTTCACTCAGACGCTGCAATGTTGTTCTGGTATGATAAACATGCCATGATAGAGAAATAGCAAGAGCAGAAAACACCTCCAGCCAGAATTGGCACCAAATGCCAGCCAAGAAAACATTTGAGTCATAAGGCAGAAGGATTCTCCTCCTCTTCCTCACATGCAAAACTTCACCAGCTCTGGGCATCCTGCTGGTTGCCCCACAAACTTTACTAAAAAAAGACAGAAAATTCTAATCTTGGAAAAAAGTTAGAGCAGGAAGGTTGGTGAGTTATAACAACTTGCTTTAAGCATCATCAGTGGGTTCCAGAATTTAAGGAGTAAAGATGGAAGAAATTCCACAGCTGCAAAGAGGGAACGGGGAGCCACTAACTTCTCAGCTTTGAGTGCTAAACTGCTTGGTGAGACAGTAGCTTCCCCTTTACATTGTTTACCTTCACCTCACTGAGCAGTCCCTACATTTCACAGCTTCTTAAGGAGTTCCTGGTACATTTTATTCTGTAGAGCAAAGGTGCCAAGGAAGCCCAGTGAAGAGTGGAACAAAACATCTAGCTAAAAAAAACGAGTGTAAGCTCTTCTCCAGAATATAATCAGAGTGAGGAGCCTTTCCATATGGCATAACTAAATACATAATTAAAATTATGAAGATGCACAAACTGTTAAAAGGAGCCAATTTTATTCAAATAATTTTTGATAGAATACATAATTACCTTTCCTCAAAAAAGTGACATATTTATCATGTTATCTTTAGTCAAATGAAAACCTTTCTCCCTTCTGCAGATGTATCTCAGTAGAAGCCAGAGTCTTGAGTAGCCCAGTTAGGTGCCTAAAAACAAATAAAAGAATCACAGAAGAAAAATCACTATCGGCTGGCTGCTGAAATTGAGAAAAATAATTTTTATAATACTGAAGCAGGGCTATGAAATAGAACCATTGTCAACTACTAGATGATACCTAAGAGTCTAAAGCAAATACTAACGTAACAGAAAATACACACAAGAAAGTTGTACAGTCAMAGCCAGCTAAGCCAGGAGTTGCATGAGAAAGTGTCCTAGAGAATCTCAAAATAAAAGTAAAAAGATAACTTGGCAGCTGTATTTTAAGTGCTATTTTATTAAGAACCTTTGCACAACTGTCTAATGGAATCAACTAATTCACAACTGCTTGCTACCTCCCCTCAATACCGAGGAAGTCCAATAAGAATTTTGACATTTTGATTTTTTTTTTGTTTTGTAATTGTTCATTTTTTTAAAATATAGCATCACTGCTTTTTTAAAAGCATATATCTGTTTGGACATCAGTCATCCACTTTTCACGTTTCATTTCTTCCTCATATAGTGAGGAACTTAAGGTGAACATAGCTGAAAGCAGATGGTCTTCCTCATTTCATTTTCAGTGGTTTTACCCAAAACCTTGCTGATTCTACTCCTTAAATARTTAAGTGTTATGATTTTGTATCATGCCTCCATCTTTCACTCTTCCACCATTCATTCTACATATCTACCTTCTTTGACTACAAGTTACCCAACAAGAGAGGCACTCACTCAAAATACAGCACTGTAGTAAACAGCACAAAAGCGCAAGTAAAATAACTTAGCTCAATCTACAAAAATATTCACAGCGGTTCAAGGTGAACCAACTTAAAAAAACACAACTTAAGTAAGYTTCATACATCAAAACTACTCCTTTTAAAATGGTGGAGGAGACCTTTAATGGAGCATGAGAATTAAGTGATGGCAGAAACAACTAGGTATACAACGAAAAAATGGAATGCCTAGTAGTGAGAGGTGGGGAGAATAAATAAAATCAAGAATCACCATCTAATGCTCACTATAAAGAACTAAGCCTTTGCAATTTAATTCCACATGTCAAAACAGTYAGAAGTAGATCTGATGAGGTAAGAAAGAGATAACAGCTATACTTAAAGATATCCTAAAAAAATCCAGGAAAAAATAAAACCCAGAGCAGTTTATACCAACCTCAGATCTGCCACTCTGGTTTAATTTCTTCTCAATGTTCATAGCCAGCATTTGACTACGAAAAGACAGGCTTTTGGTCTTTTCAATGACTTGCTGGTAAGGAGAGACTGCATTGTTGCCCATAACTACATGGCCCTAAAACACAGGAAAGAGAGTAAATAATTTTAGCAAGTCAGAAAGCAATCCTTCAGTGTTTTGAGCAACGTGAATGAAATTTTACTCAGACCCAGTCAATCCTCTTAGGCTCTTTATTAATATAGTCTTACCAGCTTTGAATCCAACTTAGCATCTAATCGTGCATTTCGTATCAGATTGACAATCCATCTCTCAGCTTCTTCAGGAGTCATATTTAGTTTATCTGCCAACATGCTGGAAGACAACAGAGCATTATCAAAAGGTGAAATAAGTGTCTCGTGTTAGAAAACACAATCAAGCACTACAGAATACATGAGAGTTGTGAATTAAACCAACATTAACTAAATTTACCACAGCAGAAACATGAAACTTACTGAAGAATAGTCTTGTATTTGGGAAGCTTATTTCTATTTGACTGAAGTAACTTATTTAAAAGCCTACAGACACCCTCCCTCCCGCCTGACCTCAAAAGAAATCCAGACACTGTTTTCTCTTGGGATCAGGCATGAGTAGTTCATATCCTCAAGTATGCCCACAAGAGAGAACYGCATTAAACAGTACCTACGTTCTCAACAACATCATTTCACATTTAAATCTTGTCCTGCATAATCTTTGAATATTCCTACTAAATCTTATGTGAAAATTCTTTGTAAAGTTGTGTGATGTCAGAAGCCTTAATTTTATATCAGCTCCAAATCGCCAGAGCCAGTAAGACCAGTGGACAGAGGTGCTTGGGTACTCAGCTGAGTAAGGCAGGAGCCACCAGCAAATCTTAACAACTCAATCTAACACCAAGAGAAGACAAAACTGCCCCCAAACAGACAGCAAACCAGCTTATATCAGACTTGTAACTTTTCTGYTGTATTTTTGGTAGCAAATTAGTATGTGACACTTCTTAGTCAAGCCTGTAACCACAAACAGAGAACTGATGGACTGACTGCAAGCTGGTGTTCCTGATGGATAAAGAAGTGTAAACAGGGCCTATCCTACTCAAACATCCTCCCATACACAGATTAATCCCTGGAAGAATCCTTTCCCAATGAATTAAAGCTGCCTATGCCTGACAGATGAGGATACAGCCAAGCTTCCTTTGTTCCCCCTCACCAGTATCACTCAGTTCACTGAATTTTTGAGATTAAAAAAAGAAATTGTTCTGTATAGAAAATACAGTGTTACAATTACCATACAGTTAATACCCTCGATACTTCTAAAACCCTGGGTGTATTACCACAGACTTGTCAACATACTGTTTATATTCTGCTTTTCCATTTCATACGAAGCCACCTTAATGTTTCAAAACAGGAATCAACCCTCTGCTCATCAACAGTTACATAATAGGCACCTTCACCACAACACACAACAGTAACCAGAACTACAATGAGAACTTTTTATATTTTTGTTTGCGCACTCCTGCCAGCAGTCAAGGAAGTTCAGGATAATTAATCCCGCAGTGTTCCATGTTAACTCAGGTAGCGAGAACACCCCATGCAGCTGGCAGCAAAGCCAAGCTCTGGGAGCAAGTGCCACGAGGCAGCACTTCAGGGCTCGGGACCAGAGACAGAGGGTCCCATCATCTGTCCCAGGAGATGGGTTTGGCTCTGACTACCTGCAACTCCAGGTGGGCTTGGGGCAAGGGGAGCGTTACGGAAACACGCACTCTTGTCTGAGCATAATTCCCACTAAGGGAATTTCCTGCAGCTTTGTGGTCAATCCCTGGATTTCCTGCTGGCATTTGGCTCAAACAAGAGCCCTGTAACTCTCACTCTCCCCTCAGCTCCTAGGCGCAGGCGACAGCTTTGAGGCAAGGGCAGCRGGCAGGAGCACAGGGCCGACGGCTGCACTGCCCTGACAGCAGAGGTCGGTTCCTCAGCGCGTTACAGCATCCCGCTCCCATCGACGCATTTTGCTGCCACCCAACATGACGTTTCTCTACGTAGTTCTTTKTCTACGTAGCTCAGCACTAACTGCTCCCTTCCCAGCAGCGTCTACTMTAAGAATTATAAAACAACCCTATTTTTTTCAAATGCTGCTGTATTGTAAGTGCATATGCAAAATGTTTATTATAATTCAAAGCATGTGGGGTTTTTGKCATTTGTAAGTACACAGGAGATTTTCAGATCTTACCAATCCCCTACAAGGGAGTTTGATAAGAATGACCAAATGCTGTCACTTAAGAAAACTACAGGTGTTRAAGATAACACACCACTAAAAAAGGACTGTGATAGGCAACACTTCAAAGAGATAGGGAAACACTGTACTGTAGTAGCTCTTTAACTGTCATTAATTTATATATTGTCAAAGACTGATTGAAGACATGAACTGCCTTCTCTCAAAGCTGAAGACACAGAAAGATATGCAAAAAACACTTCCTGAATCAGAATATCTACCAGGCAAATACAAGCTCCATTAACAAGAACTTGTGTGGTCTTCTCCTACATTTTTGACAAAAGGAAACTCAATTTTTGAGATGAAAGTGAAATGGGTAGAAAGATACACATATCTTAAAACACTGAACTTCAAACTCATTTCAGTGAGGTGACACAACAAATGAACAACAAAGTATCTGGAGTCTGGCAAAACAAGGGGAAGTAAAATCTCATCTCCACCGCTTYTGTTCCACTGAAGCTCTTAATGCACAGCTCAATCAGCTGCTGTAGGGAACTAAGGCAGACCAGAGAAGATTCCAGACTGAGGTTTTTGCAGAATTCTGAGCCACCTAGAGATGGTGGCTCAAACGAGAGAAGTATTTCAGTAGGCAAGAAGCTACAATTGCTTTACAATGTTAAGCTCCAGAGTTAAAACTAAAGACATTCAACTCTGAAACAAAGAGGATGTGCCCACAGAAGGGGTAGAAGGAAAGGAAAAAGTTGGTCTGTTGTTTAAGAGATAAATGATTCATATGAAATAACTCCCTGCAGACGAGGACAAGAATGACTCAATGGACATGGGTATGGTCAACCGGGTAAGCTACAAGCTTCTGTGTAAGCACCTGGGTTTGGATGAGGAGTGCCAATCTCTCAGCCATCCCCTGCTTTGCTGGCTGATCCACGTCAGGGAGCACTGACGCTTATGATGTGGACAGCATTAAAACCAGATTCTCTCAATCATATAGAACAAATGTGCAGCAAAAACATCTCATGTGCTCCAGCACTCGGTGGTGTTCAGCCTCAGGAGCAGACTCAGCCTCACTGGAAAGGGAAGCCACAGAGGGGAGAAGGTGCCACATCTCCCAGCAACAGCCTCTGCACCCTACGGATCTGATCCTCTTACAGCCCATCACCTGCTAAGGCAGATGCAGCCTGAGCAAGCTTCCCAAGCCCCTACACAGCCTTTGAAAGCAAAGAAGTATAAGTTGGTTGGACTTGGTAACCCTGAAGGTCTTTTCAACCATCATGACTCTGGTTCTCTGCATTTACAGGCTGTCACTCTTGCAGAGGGGACATGGACTGTATATTTCTCATCCAAGTCTTAAGATTTTTACTAGTTCAATCTTGTTAGGCAGAGGCAGAAGTTACACCAGCAAGCATAAAGCAGACACAGTTACATAGCAAAAGCCATACATCTTTGTGCAGCTTCCATACAGGCATGGAAGCTGTTCTTCCCACACATTAATTTGGAGAGCTTCCAAATTACAAAATTCCAGAGAGCAAGAGATGCAGTAAGTATAACCTCACAGGTTCAAACTTTTAAACTAAAAAGCCCTAAAGTTATCAAGTAAAAATATCACCATCTGTGGTAAGCAAGCATATCACTGTTTGTGAAATGAAGATGTGTATGAGGGGAAAAAAGCATCTAAGCACTGTCAGACCCTGGGAGAGGAGCTAACCATAACTCAGCAGCTGCAGCAACTCGACTCCATGGCAGGGTCCCCAGCACAGGCCGCCCGGAGCAGCCAGCACCACCTGGAGCACCCGGACACAGCGCCGCATGGAGACCATGGTTGGAAAAGCAGTGCCCGCTGCCTGGGAGGTGCTCACCCTTCTCTGAGTGACTTCAGTCTCCTCCTGAGTGCGGTTGTGCCATGAAAGAACAGCCTCCTGGTACACTCACATCATCTACCTAATACTTGCAAGACAGGAATAGCCATAGCACAGCTCCCATACACACACTCACCAGCTTGAGTAACAGGGAGCCACTTAAAACTCTCAGACACTCTTATTCCTAGAGGGCAGGAGCATGAAAAAGCTGTCTTTAGTTTCTCACCATTTTCAAAGATACCCGCTATAAATGAGCATCCAATAAAAGGATGTGCAATGAAATAATCCAATTAATACATAACATCTTTTGGTTCATTTTAAAACAATGTTATGTAAGTTTTTCCTTTGCTCAAAAGGAAGGCCTACTGAATTCCATGCAACTTCATGTATAAACAAACTTATCTTGCATTGCCTGCAGAAGGCAAAGATACAGCAAAGTATGAGGCACACTCAGCTCTTCAATTAAACACTGGCATATCAAGCTAACCCAATCACATTCCAAAATAATTTAATCTATTACTCCCTATTAAACATATTTCAAACATTAAATTAATTGCAGGATGATTGGGGTTGTATAAATTAAAAAATTACAACTGATAAAACAACTGTGTTCTCGGAAGTCAGCTGCCCAACAGATGCAAGCAGTTAAAAAAAACTAAGTAGACATCTATTTTCTATTTAACATAAGAAATGGCCGTTTTCCCACTAATTGTTTTCAAATCCGTTCTGAACACTTAAACAGCACTTATCAGGCACTGTGGTACAACCAGCTAGTTTTAAACTCCAGGAATAGCCATGGAAATCACTTGTGGATAGACAAATGCAAGAACTATGCCTCAAACTCCTAATTAGAAACATCTTAACTGGTCATTTATTTCAAAACAAAGTCTGAAAGGCTTTAAGAAATACTTATGGTCTTGCTTATTAAACCTCAATCTAATGATTGTCAGAACTTTAAAGTAATAAATGCTAAAAAAAATTACATCATCTACTGCAAGCCTTGTTAAATAAAGCTTCCTATTTTTGTATAATTATTTGCTTGTTATCCATGATTTATTAGCATCTTAACTGAAACACTTGGAAAAAACACTTAAGATGCATCCATGAGAATCTCTGCTCATTGCTTCCCTGACCTGGCCAAGATCAGAGTTATTAGAACAACATCTAGCCTGTAACTAAACAATTCCCCTTCCCCCACAAACTTCCAAGTTTTGTTAAAATCCTAGTATTACCAGTAATGCACATGTTCAGATCCAAGAGTTAGGGATCTAACAGGGACGACAGGCACTCCATGGAGTTTTTATATTCCCCGAGAACTCAAGAGCTTTATTCACATCACATTTTAAAATMTACACTCAATGTATTTTACTCAATTTTGCAATAGTTGGCTTAAAGTACTTTTACATGGACCATCCATCTTTATAAAAAATGGACATAGGTATGAAGAATTTTATTCATGACTAGTTCAGTCCAACATCACTAGGACGCTTAACCCCCTCCACACACAACAGCTGATTAAAATTCCCAAACAATTCACTGGTTTCTTTCAGTTTTCTGTACTGATAATCCATAAAAATGAATCACAAGAAATGGAATGTAAGAACGGCAACTACCTGATCCAAAGGATAAGATAATATTTCCCAAATGCACTTAAAAGCAAATGCATTACATAACAAACAGAGATTAAGAGTAATAAATTATTAGTTTTTCTTCTATTATAAACACAAACCATGCCACAAGTTTATCCTAATAAATTTAGCAAGCTTATAGGAAAATCAGGACATTTTCTTTTGAAAGAAGAGATGAAGGGTGCATGTCTTAGGTTTAAGACAAAGAAATCAATTTTTAAACATGACTGGGTTAATTGAAATTTACCACATTAGTTCTACAAAACTAGGAGGACAATTGTCTACCTAGATTTTAAGGATTTTCATTTCATCTGGTGACTGGATATTCTACTACTCAGGTTTACACTGAGTCTCCTTTACCCAGAAAAGATATTCACAAGATGCCCTATCAAAAACACTTCCTTACCTGATGCTGATACATTGGTGGATGCGACAGAAAGTCTCAAATATGAAGAGGCGCGCATTCTCAATGAAGTCCTCGAGGCAAGCCACCAAGAAGAAGTCATTCAAAAGCACCTGCAAGCGCACACAGGGAACACAGAAATAAACACAGGGATGGGAATTCCATTACAGGTACCTTCATTAAGATCAGTGAACAGTCCTTCTAAAACCACTCTTTGAATACTCCAACACATGGTGAAAATTCCACCTGTTCAGCAGAACATTTCAGTGAACTGCTACAATCTAAGYTGCGTGATGGTGTTAAAAGGGTAACTGAGAACTGGCCCATGGAGAGTGAGGGCCAGAGTTCTCATTCAACTGAATGGTCAACTCAACACACAACATTTAGCTGCTCTCCTCATACTTTAAGTTTCTTCCCTCATTCAGCAATTTGATCAGCTAAGGCAGGTTGTTCTCGTTATCAAAAGGATGACTGCAGTGAGCACTGTAAGCAGGTCCTACAAGGTTCTGCTTACATGATCACTGACTTGATGCAGTTAGGAGAATTAATCATCTGTCATTTAGATTTATCCTATTAGGTGACTAACACTGATGAAAAGGGAGCCAAAGTAGAAGCTGCAAAAATCTGCACCAGTGTGCACCTATTAAAAATATAAAGCTTTCATACCTATCTAGTCAGTAGAACTGCCAGGTATCTTCAACTGCTCACAGTAAACTAAACTAAGAAGTTTCAAAGAATACACATTTAGTCATCCTAACTTTTTTCCCCCCCCTCTCTCTCTCCTCTCAACACTGTAGTTTCAGCATGCAGTGCTGCACTCAAACTGCATCTTTGGGAACAAACATAAATCCCAGCTTTTCTTTAACTCGAGACCTGTGAAACACTARTGGAAAAGCTGAAGTTCACCAAGACACATTACTGTCTATTCACTTTTTTTTCCAGGAGCTGATTCTATCTAGTTTTAAACACTACACTCTYGCCAGCAAGTCTTGTTTAAACTTTACAAAATAAATTGTCAGAAGGAATGCTAGTTACCTCACACATGCAAAAGACTGACAACAGAATCAAGCACTGCTTGGACCAAATTAGCTGCTCAATGTTAATTTTACAAAGATCTTTGCACAGGGCAAATCTTACATGTTAYGGAAAACTTACTGTTTCACACTCCCTCAGTTTCTTCTGGGCACCATCAAAATCAAAATTAACATACAAGCACTCCACAAACTCTGTGATGGGATCTCTGTATGTGTAGGACTCCTGCCAAAACCAGTTAGACAACGTTGAAAATCCAAAARCATTTAAAGAGTCAATTTTCTCAAAGTTCACATTGCTTGAGTGTTTCTTATATTCCTCAAGGAGCAACATTTAAAACTGGAAACAACTCTCTGCCTCACAAATAAAATACTTCTTAGACTGGAAAAGAAAACTTAAATCCAAAGCCACTTCATGTGTTTTGCTGAATTTTGAGTTTAATACACAGAAATAGAGAATTGGGTGCTTATTCCTTTCTACACATTCCTTTTAAAGAAAGAAGAAAATGTCATTCTGCCCTCTGAATCATACTACATTTTACTTCATAAGGAAAAACAAGTTAAACAAGAGAAAGAAACACATGCAGAAGTAAACCCTAAAGCATTATCAGACATTATAGTCTCTGGAACAGAACATATCAGAGACAGTTTTAGTTCTTACCTGCTGAATAACCTTGACTAAATCCTTTAGCACTTGTCTACGTTTTCGAACATCCTTATTTGTTATGACTGCAGTAGTCAGGTAGCGCAGGATATGGGGACACATTGTCTGGATTGCGTTGAGATACCTGGATAGAGTAATCCAGACATCACTCAGATGATGGAGCTTTGCATCCAAACAGTAATCAAGATACATCTTTTATGTAGCACTATACCAATGTTTTGCTTGCCCATTTAATCAAATATTCTGGTTTGGATTAACAAATCATTCCCAATAAAATTAAATTTGGTGCTTGGAAATTGATATCTGACCATGGCAAGGAATAGGGAAGGGTGTAGTGCTAGAAAAAGGAGATAAAAACAAATYAAAACAAAAAACTTCACATCCACATGCTAAGTTCAGTCACCCCTGCCCTATGCTGTCAGCAACACTTCATGGGAAAGGAAACAGTGAACAACTGTAAAAGAAAAAATTACTGTCTCTACAACACGGGTTACAAATCTACTGGGGTTTGTTGTATAAAAAAATTCAAGTCAGTACAACACAACTTACTGAGGCTGATAGAGAAAGAGGTCAATGATGTTGTCTCTTCCTTTAGGATGGTTGAAAAACACAAATAAGGACCAGTGGATAAGCCATGTTCTTTGCTGAAGAGACTGCAGCGGAGAGCTGACAGACTGAAAGAAAACAATCCCAAGTTCAACTAAGGTACCAAGCAAACAACATCAAAAATGCCCACAACCCACCAAAATCCAAACCACCATACACTCAAAGTCTGTATAAAGAGCTGCTCAGCTACTCRCAATTTTTCAGCGACTGGCTGAGTTAAACATCCAGCTTTTTAATTTGTCAGCTGSTAAAGATAAATCTCCCCAAAGTTGCCATTTTTTCCAATAGTCCAAATTGTTTGCCAAAATTTGTATTCTATTTTGGCAACTGTACTCATTTTACTTTTCCAGAGATAACCAGGCTAGCACATATAATTATTCCCCTTTATAATCCTAAACTTTGTTTAATGTCCCCTCCTCTTCTGATGTGATTTAAGCAACTAACTTTTAACCTTTTTCTTCTTCTCTAAAGCCTAGCCTTTTGTCATGCAAAACAGGTACCAGAGAGTTAAACACCACAGTCACTTTCAGACAGAAAATAATTATTTTCATTTAAACTAACTGTTAGAGCACAGAGTTTCAGCCTAAAGCATATGAACCTGCTCCAAGTTTCAACATCATTTCAAATTAAGGTTATAAAGCAACATGTTGAGAATAGTCACAGCAAAGTAGCAGTCACTYGCAGAAACATATCAACTACAATGCTGCCCTAAAAATCCTTAGAGGGAAGAAAAATTTCATAGTGTTACTATAAGCACATAGTTCCATAAACCTCAGAAGGAAAATCAAGAATTACCTGTCATCAACAAAAATTTGAGGCAGGGAGGCAAACCAGCTCCCCACACCATCAAGACTTTAATTTAGGACAGTAAAGTTCTCCTAAACTATTTCAGATATGGTCAATGAAGTACCATGAACAGACAAAAACTATAAAGCTCCTGAGCATGTTAAATTAGTCCTTTTAGACCCATACTTCCCCTTCATTTCTCCTGTTTTCAGCCAAACACAGCAGGAGTTGGTGAGGAAGCTCAACGTGGAATGGTTAAGATTGCTGCAAAACTAAAACCTGTACGTCCTGTTACAGTCCCAATCAAGTCTAAAACCCTGTAAGCTACTGAGGGCTGTACTGAAGATGTACTCACTAACACYCTTCAGGCATTTCCACATGATGATATTTTGCTCTCAAACTTGCTCTTGAAGGAAGTTTTTTTTTTAACTGGTATTTCCAAAAAAGAAAAAAATGCAACTGTTTTTCAAACAAGGGAAGCATCTCATTTGAAAGATGACAGATTTCAACATTTCTTTGCCAGTAATTCTTGAGCCTCTTTTTACTCTTACATTAAAATTTAATAAATACACAAGTGTTAGTACAAGCGTGTGGCAAACTGCTCCTGAGAGCTTCAAAAAGTCAACTCTACAAGACCACTTTCTTATTTCCAAAGATATGCTTTTAAAAATAAATAAAAACAACTTACATTATTATCTATTGTTTCCTTTAATCTTGTGAGATCTTCCATGGCTGCATCCCAATTCTGCATCAAAATTTCAGACGCCAGCTTTCCCCACAGAGAACTCAAAGCATTTCTGTCTGTTGCTGGAACCTGTTTTCAACAGCAGTCACACTTTTAATTAAAAAAAGAAATGTATCTCCTGRCACATTTTAATTTTGTAATGTCAGACCCTTCCAGATCTATTTTTTTGTTTTAAAAAATATTTTATATGCAGAAGGGCATGAATTAAAACTAGAAAATCTTGTCATAAGGGAGCCAAAATTCCATACAAATTGCAGATTCCCAAGTTAAACAACAGAAACGAATAAAGTGGCTGAGCATCAGATGCCATTTTTGTTCCAAGTTATTGAAACCACACGAGAACTATTAACAGACACTTCCTACATAGCAGGTTCCCCCCAAACTGGGGGCAGGAACCAACCACATCACACAGGACAGCATTCAAAGTTCTTTCTGCTGATGCTGTGACTAAAGCTTCTTACAGGAGCGCCCTGTAAAACTACRGCTTTACAGTCATAAGTTCTGTTCTGAAAAAGCTCATGAGTACTGTATTTGACTATAGATAACCGAATTGGTCTAAATATTTAAAAGCACTTACCAAAACTCTAAAAAAGTAGAGGTATTCTGCAGCTCCCGAATAATTACCACATTCATACTGGAACTTTGCATACCTGTAGAGGGTATCTAGGTACTCCTGCCTGAACTGGAAAGGAACACAAAAAGGCTTTCTTCACTAAGGGAGGAAAAAAAGTGTTGCTACAGGCAGTTACAGGGCCATTTTTTAAACAGTCAGAATTATAACAGACATGTAAGTAATCTYTGAAAACTTCAGATTATTTGAAAGTTGCTACAAACAGAAAAGAAAATCATTCTATCCTTAAGTCATGCCACTGAACTAGTAACTACACTAAGGGGGAGGGAAAGTGAAATTATGTATTACAAAACTAGGAAAAATTATTTGGACGTATAGTAACATTAAGTTTGAGCTTCATTTTTAAAGACACACATGTTCAAAGGCATTCAAACAAAACACCTGAGCATTAGGAAACCCACCTATTAGCTACTTTCAACCTAGACACAGCAGAATGTCAGCACTTAATTTTGCARAACTGTTGGTTATGGGGGAGTTTGGAAGGAGATGTTTAGAATTACATTCAAACAGATTAAACCAAACTTACACCATGCTTCTCAGCCAAATAGTCAAACAGCATTCGGCCGTCCCTATAATAAAAAGATAAAAACAGCTGTTTTCACAAAACAAACYGATTGTCACCATTTACTACACATCTCAACCTTGAGTTGTTAAAAGAAAATCTTATCAAATGGCAAATAAATTGAAAGAAAAGATATTTTTATGCTTGCTGCGTACAAGCAACTGCAGAAACAGTGAACCAACTCCTTCAGTGTCATGAAGTTAATACAATATAATTAAAAATAGAGTGAGGGGGTGGAGGGGAAGTAAAGTTAAATTTGGCAGTATTCTTAATTTTTTTTTTAAACTCTATGAAAGCTAAGTTTTCATTTAGAGCTCTTCCCACTCTCACATTCTAATTCCATAGTGATTACTCAAGCCAAACAGTTTGAATTAGATAGCAGACAGGAAAAAAAGCTTGTTGAGCCAAAATAAAAAAAAAAAGGAAAAAGAAAAAAAGCAAATTAGAAAGAAAATTTATCCCATTACTGACACCAGGATACACTGGTTAACAAGCATCTCTCTAACACAGAAAACACTTATAGAACATGCAACTAAGATCAAAAAATCACCCCAATAAGTTCTAAGTTACTACTGTACATATGTAATTGCATCTATGAAATTTCTTTATTCAAAACAGACAGCGGCAGCTATTATCTTCATGCAAGACAACTTCGCTAGCAGATGAACTGGAGTTCATACACAATGAAGTATCCMCCCATTAATGCTAACACTCAAAGAAAACACTGACCACAGGATTTTGGACACCTTTAGTATTTACAGCAATGGTTAACTTAGTTAATAGTTTGTTATGAAGCATCTGCAGTGGATGTCAGCTGCGAGACACATGCAAAGCTTAATCCAACTCTCCAGAATAATCTCTGAAAGAACATCCAATGAACACTGTTCAACTGCAAAATATTTCCCCAAACTTGCATACTAGCTGCTCTGTGTCAGAAAAGACAGAATTATCTGATCTGCTAGCAAAATATATGCATAAAGATATATACTATATATATCTTTGTATATATATCTTCATCATACACTTAAATATATGCTACGGTGGTCTGGCAAACAAGGTGAGGGAGGGACTCATAATAGCTATCTAAGAAAAGTATTCACATTTTAAGGAGCACGGTTAGAGTATTAAATAGTGTCATATACTAGGTCACGCTGATGAACGGAAGTCTTGCCACGACAATGAGTTAGCAGTTTCCAAGATTTCCAAGAAAGAACGCTTCATAACAGAACCACTCTGAAGTTTAGAAAATAAAACCTATCCAACTAAAACTAATTGCAAAAGAATCTTGTCGTAAGAGAGTATAGACGATGGATATTTCTACTACTCTATCAAACAAAAGAGAAAATGAAAACAAAAAGCTAGGAAAAGGCCATTTAGTGAATGCCATTTAGTMTTCCAGATGTCACCAGACATGCTGAGTCAAAAAATGCAATTCTACATGCAGTCATTCTCTTCATAGCCCTCCCCCTTCTACTGCCACCAAGAATCTGAGACCTGGCAGCCGCTTCAGTCATYCTGACTCTGCTTAAGCTACCAAGGCACCACTTGCCATCCAAAGCTCAAGGCCAACCACATCACTACATCATTAGGTAGTAAAAGAAGAATCTTTTGCATGTCTAAAAGCAAGCTGAACTTTTTGTGCAAATCAAGACTATCATTCAATTCCAATAAACCTCAAAAATAAAAAACAAGGAAAACTCACCCTTCTAGAAAGGGCTGTATCACCAAGGAAAGCAAATTGAATTTATTTACATAAAACCATATTCTTTAAACACTACCGCACTACCTAAAAGTCCTGAAGCCTCAATTACTGTTATGTACTCTTTAAACTTAAAGARAGTGAACTAGGTATTGAATTTATGCATTTTCATTTCTTAGAATGTTTCATTCAAGGAATAAGGCAGCAGTAATGCTTCCGGTACTTAAAGAAGCCTACGAAAATCCTGGAAACAAAGACTTGTACAGGTCAGAGCTTTCTTGTCTGGTAGAATACATGTCCAAGATTTAACTGAAGAAAATAATGTCAAAATGTAATTCCTCTTGAGAGAAAGATGCAGTGAAAGTGCATGCACAAGACACTAAGAGAGCACGGGGAAATCAACTGACTGTAGAACTAAAAAGTGGTTTAATTAGAAATTACAGTATGTAGGTCAAGCTGATACAGTGAAATGGCACAATGCCAGGGTAGCAAAAAAAAAAAAAAAAATCAACGCTTAGGAATATTCTTGGAAGCAATGAAGGAATCTCAGGAGCTTTTTCCAACGGAACATACTTTGGGAATGAGGGGATACTGACTCTTTCTCCATAATTTTTAAAATCTTAAGGCCTTTCTCCAACAGCTACTCAAAAAAATAACAATAAGACAGACTTTGGCTTAATCTTTTAAGAACCTCCACTTGCAAAATCTCTTTCACACATCATCTTCTGGTATATCCCCATCAGACTTGGATCAAATCAGCACTGCCATAGATCAAAAGTCATGATCTAAAAGCCCGAGAGCATACATCTCCGAGTTCAATATAAAAAGGTCCAAATCACCAGCTAATAGCCAGAGAAAACAAATCAGAAAGGTAGCATCTACTTATTTAAAGCATGTTCAGGTGTAGGTAAATTGATAGCTTTGAGCTCAACCCTCAGAGTTACGGTAAAATCCCAAAATCAGGATTAGAAATTCCATTGAACTAAAACCACACACACAAAAACACAAAACAAACAAACCAACAACAACTTGTGAGCAATAAAGCTTTTAGCTATTTTAGAGTGAAACAGATGCACTAGTTGTGAAAGAAAGCTTCTTGTGTATGAAGATAGGACTAGTGTTTCATAGCATTAGGCAGGTTATATTTCAGATTTTTTTTTGAACATATTCTCCTGCTTCCAAACAGTGTTCATGCTTTGGAATCCGTACTACTAACCAATTTCTTTGAACCAAATATCACATAACAGAAAAATTTCTCCAAGAAACACTCATATTTGGATACATAACAAGACTTTTATGCAACAAAATTGTTTTAACAATTGGTTAGAGGCAATAGAAGATCTCCACATGAGTGAGAAACTCAGGTCTTAAGAAAGACAGAACAACATCAGATAGTATCTTCCCTGAAATTTAAGATATTCTCATATAATAAATTAGATAGCTAACTAAATTTCAAAGATACACTTTCAAAGGCTCCTGGTTTTCTTGACAGAAAGCATTATATGACATGAATATCCATGCAGAAGTCAGATATAATGACTTACTTATAGTGTATACTATACAACACAGTTACTTACAGCACACTTACACTGTAAGTGACATCACTTACACCGGCAGTGCTTTTTGCAACAGAAACTTAAGTATTTTCTGTATCATTATTTCCATTGAAATTCATTCATATGCACCACTGTGTTTATGTGCTGTATGTCAGTTTCTGTATTAACTGCATTCTAGGCTAGGTTACAACAAGTTCTGAAGCTGAAATGTGCAGAGTACAGATAAAATATGTACTTTTTATCTATGACAACAGGATGCTAGATACCAAGTAATTTTGAAAGAAAGGGAGAAATAAAAAAGATGGCATGGTGGAACCTGCACTGACCACAGAATGTGAGAAATACTGGTACCTTCAGAGGTACCAGGTGGAGTACTCTAAATGACCTTTGAGCACAAGTGACAAGCGCTGTCTATGTAGGTTCTTAGACCGTGGCAATAATCAACCAAAGTAAAAGCTTCACCTTCAAACTCAAGTGGAGCGAGGCATTCTCCTATGATACATTTGAGGTAGTATGTACTATGTGTTAGTATAGACTAGTATAGACACATAATATAGATATTTTTAAGATGATTGAGAATACGAGATTCATCTAGTTAAACTTCTAGAGACTAACACATTTACAATAGTGATTAGATAACAAGTATTTCCAATGTAACGACACCAAGCAGTAACTTAAACTGAATGAATATTTGTCTCTCTGTTGAACCATCACAACTACAACTCCTACAGTTGAATCCTTCCCTAAGGGATTTAGGTTTAACTGTATGAAAAACCTCACAGAATGTAAGGCTTAGACAGGCTCACTCCATGTTAACTACCTTCACATACAAAGCAAAGAGAAGTTACCTCTCTTCCTCAGTTTGCACAGCTAAAGGCTTTGTATGGCATATTTTAACAACATGAACATATGTCCCAAATTAATTTTCACTCTTGGCACCCTAGGTTCATATGCGCAATAAGGAAAACTCCAATTTTCTTACAGAGAGTCTCCATATGTTGAAACAACTTGCCCAGAGAGCCTACAAAACCTCCATTCTTCAAGATATTCCCAACTCAACCAAAAACCTGAGCAGTTTGATAGGATGTAACCCTGCTTTGACCTGTGAGCTTTATCTCCTTCTCAGAAGTTCCTTGATTCAAAAATTATCAAAGCCTCAGCCCAGAGAGCTGCCTCCCACTCCAAAAAAAAAAAAATCCTTAAAGTACTGTTCCTTAAGGTGATTATAAGCAGTACCTTCCATCAACAAGTTAGTCTGTCTAGAAGGGGAAGCTGGGGTGGAAAGTGTGACATGGTAGACAAGACCATAGGGAAAAAAAAATGCCCTAGGATGCTGGAAGAACACATCTCCACTAGGCCTCCCAGAGCAAGAGCCACATTTTTTACCATTGAGAGAAGGTTACGAAACAGAACAACGACAAACAGAAGAAAGACCTTCTAGCAAAGAGGATCTGTTGCTTCATCCTCCGTTCCTTCCAAAAATCACTGTTAGCTGCAATTTGACAGCACCAAATGACTAAATGGGTGTCATTTGACCCCTGTTGATTGATCTAAATAGTAAGAGGAAAGAAGAGCTGTATGTATTGCAGATAAGAGAACTGAAAAGAGTAATTTCATTTGGGGTCATTTCAATCACACCACCACAAGTACTACTAAAATATGGGCTGAAAATAAAAACGTCTGAAACTAAGAATGCCTTTCTTTGCAGCGCAGAAATTTACACAGAGAACATTTTATCCCCAACATCCAAGAGGTACCAAGAAATCTTTTAAGGGAAGTTATTGCATAAAGAATTACCTAGTGGACTGCATTTGCCGTGTGGTCTCTGGATCTTCAAACATCTTGACAATAGGTTCAGTTTCTGCCTGCAGCTGTTTCAGCTGAGCAACAACAGTAGTTCTCTTTTCACGCAGAGCTAAGCAAAACAAAAAGAAGAAATGATGTAATGCTTAAAGCTAAAGGAGATCAACTGCAGATATCTAATTCTAATGGCCACAGTTCAACTCTTGTCTTCTCAATTCTCCTGTAGTTTGTCTTCTTATCTCAGTCAACTTACAAAAACAGAGGTATCTGACCACTCTGACTCCAAATTTCTATCATTTCACTCCTTTATTCACTTTGCAATTCTAATCAAGTCTCTGAGGAACACGCAGTTACAGCAGAATCTGTAAAGAAAATATTCCACCTAATACAGTGGAAAGAATGACATTTAAGATAAGTTTGTTTATTCTAGATCAGCGTGGAAAGGTTTGGAGTTTTTTTTTTCCCCCCCCTCAAATAAACAAAGAACACAAACATGACGGTATGATACCACTAAGACTAATTCTCCTTTAACTGACAAGGTCCTAGAAGTTCATGCTTAGAATACTCACCTGAAAGTTGAATTTATGATTTGAAACACTACGTATGCCTAATCATTAAATCTTTTCTGGAAATCAGTAGAAACAGAACTTACATATGCTCAGAAATATTTTACACAGAACCAAACTTTTCCACCCAGTGCTACCGTGTGCAATACGGCAAATAAGTTTTTCAAAATGTTACAAAAGTGCTAAAAACAAACAAAAAAACCCCACCATTGCCTATGTGAACAAGGAAAATTGTGGGACAAGACAACCCAAGCCCAAGTTACAGGACAGACCAGTATGCAGGAAAGCGGGCCGCACACTCAGGCAGCATTCAATGCTACAGTGAAGCCATTTGATATTTCTTTCGTGGTTAGGACTATTTATTTGTAAGCACAGCCCAAAGTGGAGGAACACCATAATGGTCACCCAGTCTAAATCGGAGAATGGCTTGCCTGATAAGAAGTATTCCAGTAAGGAGAAATTATCTCCAATTTCAGAAGACTCTTCAGATTATAAAAGAGGAAGCAGAAGATATGGAAGCAAAATCACTCAGTTAACTTACTAAGAATATAAAAACATTTTTCTACTACATCTCTTGGCTCTAGGATTTTAAGTTGATCTTACAAAAGACAAAACAAACCAAAACACTGCACAGGCATTTCAAAGTACTCTGCATAAGTCAATTTAGCTGTCACCAATTAAAACAGTAAAATTTAAAAAACAAAGTTTAGTAGGAAATCATAATGAAGATAGCAATTCTTCAAATAAAAGTACTCTGCCCCTACCATCTTGTCAAATGTTAATGCATGAAATGAAATATTCTACCCTCCTACCTTTTAGGATCTGGGGAGACCAACAGTAAGGCATACTTTATTCCTAAGATCAAAATTGCTGAAAACATTCTAGTTTTCAAAGGCAACACACAAATTAGTACCAGCTGTTTATTGTTTTATATAAAAATCCCTATATAATTTGCAGTTATGTCACTTCTAAATGAACAGCTTACCATGAGGAATTTCATCAGAATAGAGATTTTTGTATACGTCCATAGCAAAATCCACCATGTTGGTATCGCTGAGAAGATCCAGTTTTCCTTGGAGTAGTTCCTTCTCATTGTATATCTATAAAACACAAGTTATTAATAGATTTTTGTTGGATACAATGAAATGGTCTCCAATTAATACAAGTGTTTAGGCTCAAAGTTATTTATAAGTTTGGTCGAATAATTTTAAACATCAAATCTCACAGCTTCTCTGTCATCTGCATACAGCCGGCTGACATTTCCAAATGTGGCATCAATTTCTTGCTACTTATGAACACCTAAACTTCCAAACATAATTAGAGGATAAACATCATTCTACATGACTTTTCCTGACAAAAGTTTATTAATTAATAGACACTAAAAGCTTCCTGAAGAAAATTCATCAGGAACATTTTTACCTGTTTTTGCTGTTCTGACCAGAACTTAAACAGATGCAATCCACAGGTGAAGTTCAATAAAGGCTTTTCAAGAACCAGCACACTAAGCAGTACAGACTCACCTCAGGATTCAAAGTGGGAAGCTATGCAAGGTCAAACATACCATTTAATTGTAGTACAGACTAATGTCAAATATGTTAAGAGGTCTACAACATGAAAGTATGTTTGGCTTGCATGGCTATTTGGCGTTCCTTTAAACTTGTGCTATTATTTTTAAAGTTGCTACCCCATAATTTAGCCATCAGTCACACACTACGCTTACATATTCAAGATGTAGATGGAGATCTAAACTCGTATCTGTCACCTAAACTTAAGTCTATTCCCAGACTACATCTGCATGGAGGCCGCATCATTGTGCCACACACCCACAGATAACTCTGGGGGGAAATCCAAGGAGATCAATTCAGCTCTGAAGAGCAGTTTGTTCAAGAGCAGCCTAACAAAATCAACGGGGTTGATTTCTGTCGGGTTTAGTGCAATCCCCAAAATGCCAAAGCCACCCTCGGGCGGCAGACACCCAGCAGCAGCCGTGCTCTAGGAACGGGGACATGGCAGGTTAGGATGATGAACCCGAGGCCTTGCACATCATTTCTAGATTCAAGGCTTACAGTGTTGTTGCCACCCTTTCAGAACGGGGCCAGCTGATGCTTCCGAGGGGCTAAACCCCCATCACYTTTAACTCCGGGCTCCCTTTCGTGCCGGCCACGTAACCCGAAGGGAGAGACCCCGGGGGCGCCTGAAGCGCCAGGCGGGGCCGCGCCCGCCCGTGGAGGAACCGAGGCGGCGTCTCCTTCGCTCSCCGCGGGCCGGGCAGGGAGCGGGGCGAGCGCACGGAGCGCAGCGGGGCTCCCACCCGGGCGCCGCCGCCGCGGGCCGGGCCGGGCCCAGCGTGACGCGGCAGGCCCAGGCCCGCGGAAGGCGCCGCGCGGCCGCCCCGCTGCCTCCCCGCGCGCCGTGCGGCTCGTACCTCCTTGACGGAGAGGAACTCGAGCAGGGGGAAGACCAGGTGCCGGTCCAAGAAGTGCGCGATCTTGGTGGTGAGGTCGTACTCCGCCATCTTGGCGCCGGCAGAGGGAGGCGCGGGGCGGGGCCGGGCCCAGCGTGACGCGGCAGGCCCAGGCCCGCGGAAGGCGGCGCGCGGCCGCCCCGCTGCCTCCCCGCGCGCCGTGCGGCTCGTACCTCNGGGCGCCGCGGCTGCGCCCCGCCTGCAGCGCGCATGCGCAGCCCCGCGCCGCCCGGGGAGGGGGCGGGGCGCGCGTCTGCCCACGGGGCGTCGCCGTGAGGAAGAGGAGGGGGTTTAGGTCCTGGGACRTTCAGCTCGTTAAAACATTAAAAAATAAAAGTAGAAAGTGCTCTTTGTGTTTTGCCTTTCTAGTCTTTAAGAACAGATAAAGAAGCCTAGAATGAGGCATTCTTCAACTATCAACTTAGCATGTTGCTGGGGATTGTTGGATGTCTGGTTGCATGTCAAGCAACCTGACAGCCTCATTTTGTACTAATTTTTATTGCTGTTTTAAGTGGAAGGTTAGAGCTTCTAGCCATAAATAAATAAATAAATGGATGCCCTCACATGGCAGGTGACTTAGACTTACTGGTGGTACCTGTTAAGTGTGCGCAGTGATCATGTTTGCCTGAAGTACTTGTGTTTCACTTGCATTCCTGTGGGCTTTTTGGATCCATCCAATTATAATTTTGACACAGAGACTAGGAATCCTTGGTGATTAGAATGATATCAAACATTTACTGGAATAAGAAGACCCAGCAGGTGGAGGGAGGGGATCTAGCCCCTCTCCTCAGCTCTGGTGAGGCCGCATGTGGAGTATTGGGTGCAGTTCTGGGCTCCCCAGTACGAGAGGGACGTGGAGCTCCTAGAGAGGGTCCAGCAGAGAGTGACAAAGATGATTAAGAGACTGGGACATCTCTTGTATGAGGAGAGACTGAGTGAGTTGGGCCTGTTCAGCTTGGAGAAGAAAAGGCTGAGAGGGGATCTGAATAACATGYATAAGTTCATGAAGGGAGAATGTAGCTAAGAAGGAGGCCAAGGTTTTCTCATCGGTGGCCAGTGGTAGGACAAGKGGAAATGGATATAAGTTGCAACACAGGAAGTTCCATCTGCATGTGAGGAAGAACTTCTTCCCTGTGAGGGTGACAGAGCCCTGGCACAGGCTGCCCAGGGAGGTTGTGGAGTCTCCTTCTCTGGAGGTCTCCAAACCCGCCTGGATGCCRCCCAGTGCCCTGTGCTCTGGGTGTCCCTGCTGGAGCAGGGGAGTTGGACTAGATGATCTCTAGAGGTACCTTCCAACCTTAACTATTCTGTGAAGAAATGTCTTTACAGAGTCTCCTACAAATGTCTATGAAATGCAGTGTGTACAAAGCACAAGGCCATCTCTGCCATAGATGTAGTGACGTTGAGGTGCCAAGCCTGAATCTTGTCTCATTTAGGCATTAAATGCAGGGAAGTAAGACCTCTTGGAGACAATTGTCAGTCCATAGTTGGTCTTTCTTCATAGAAAGTAGGAACAATTAACTTCATACAGTTAGTGAAGTCTGATGGATCAAGAGGAATCTTTCCAACCCCTAACACTGGAGAGCTTTTCTTCTGGAAGTGTAATGTTACTTGTGACTCATTTTAAAATAAGTTTTGTGTTGCCTTTTCTCATGGTCCTTGCAACTGTAGTTCAATTGGTTATATACAGTTGAAAAATCCATGTCTTGTTTCTCAGTGTTTCACTTTTGGGTTGTGTTCATTTTATTCCCCATAGAYCAAACTTTGTGAATTATGTAACTTCATAAACTTTCTGATTTTTAGGTGAAATTTTTGACCTGTGTCTAATAGAAGCTACTACAGCTRCGTTTCGGTAAATCCAGCTCTCCATGACGGATTATAGAATCCTCTGTGTGTTTAGTGCATTAAAATATGCTGTCCAAAGGATGAGGAAGAATGTCTCATCAAAGCTCTCTTTAAWGATTTCGTACAGTGTAAATATGAAGCTATATGGATCTGTAGTACTTCTTCACATGAAGTATCCAGCTAGAGTATTGGTTTGCATTGTTTCAATAACATTGAAATGACATCCAATAACAGGTTTACCTGGAGTTTTATGTTACCATGAACATTTCCAATTTTAATAGGAGATCTCTTAAGTTTTCAGATTTCTGCTTTGTGGATAATGCTGCTTACTGCAGTGCCGGGCAGCTTTGTATTGATTCAGCTATGGTTTGGATTGGTTGAAATGCAAAGAAGTTTGATTGGTTTGCCAAATTGGGATTAGATTCCCCAAAAATCAGAAACATTGGTAGTTGTGGACATTTTTTATCTTGTAAAATATCAGTTCGCAGGATTGGATTCACCAGGAGCCTGGTGAGGTTGAAATGGTGAATAATACTGAGCTTTCCATAGGGATGTGGCAGAATTGTGCTCTAGTCCTTTTCGTGCTTAATTCAGAGCAGGCATTTAAAATGACTCTTCTACTGTTAGGGTGAAATTTCATAACAATGCCACTGTGTGTTTCTTGTTTGTTGAATCTTTTCAATGTTTAATTAAATAAATATGGGGAATAAAGTATTTCTGTGAGGAGTTTAGTTTTATTGAAGAATATGTGATTGTGTTTCCCTGTAGCCAGGGATTTAGGCTGTAGAGTTCAGGATTCAAATGTGCAATAAATTGGGCAGAGAAGATCTAAAGTGTGGGACATAATTGTAACTTTGTGACTGAACGCTTGTTTGCATCAGGAGATCTTAAGTTCCAGTGTTTTATGCTGTTTATTTGTACTTTTTGCTTCTATGATTTAATACGATCTCAGTGAGAATAGGGGCCACATTTTTAATGTATTTTAAAGATTCATATGTTGTATTCTTAGGAGAGAGTAAAAATASTAACTGATTCTAATGAATCTAGCTTCAGAAAAATATATAAAAAGAAATTTTTCATCCAACAACAGCCCTTCATGCTGGGAAGGCCTCATTAGTACTTTGCCTAGGATTGACRAGAACCTAGGAGTGAACAGTGTGTGTGTTTGGAAGCTAAGACCATCATCTTCATCAGCTTCTTTGGATCAGCAGCAGACATTCAGTGTGTGACTAGAGCCTCCCCTTTTAGCTGTAACAGCATGTTTTCATTAACCAGATTACCAACAAAATACTTCTTAATATGCTCAAGACAAAGATCCTACTTAAGTTTTTTAGACAAGGCACTTTACCAAGACATTCCCAATTCAGCTTTTAGGAGTGGAAGATTGCTTTGAAAAAGATGATGGATAATTCGAGAGAATCATCAAATTTTAAAATATTTTAGCTTTTTTTTTCTTTCTTTTTTTTTAACTTTATTGACCAGCATTAACCTGTGCGTAAGGTTTCTTTTGTGTTTGTGCATGTGAGTCTTTTAAGGGGAGGAGAAGTAAAAGAAAAATGGGAAGCACCCAGCAGTAAACAGCATAATGAATCTAACAGAAAATGCAAACTTCTTTAAACTGAAATGCTATTGTAAAAGCTGATGTTTGTGACTGAAGGAAGGATATGTGTCATTTTTTTTCTCAGCTATGATAAATTGATTGTACAATTAGCTTCAGTTGTGTGAGATTTGTTCCAGCTTTTTTTCTTTTGTGTAATATAGAGTTGGTTTTTGTTTTTCATTTTAGAAATGTCAGATTTCAGATGTTTTCTATGTACAGTCAGAAGAAAAAAATCTGTATGTTGCTAACTGAAGGTCAAAGGAAAAAAAAGTCATCTGATTATTATGATTTAACAGGACTGTATTACTAATGTTCTGATTTAAACTTCAGTTTCATTATGTTTTAGGACTTTGAAAAGCTATCATGAATTAACTTTTCTAAATTGTGCGTAATAGACAAATGATGTTCCTCTTGAGAGGTTTCCAATGATTTCTATCAAGAGATATCATTTATCCTGGTAGGTTATGACTGTGAGTTACTAAGTTATTATAGGCAACACTTCTCTCTAAATCTCTGTGTGCGGTATTACACAGAGTAATACTTGAGCTTCTCTGAACAGCAGCTGTTGGAATAAATCTATTTTTATCTACAGGACAGGGCTACATTTTTTGTAGGGATTGTTGCATTACTGGATGTGATTTGCTTTGA